CAGCACCCTCAAGTGTGGTTCCACTCTTAAATAGAAGTAAACTATGGTTGTAGTTGAGTTGAGTTTGTGCCGCTGTACTGAACTGTTTGTCTAAAAGAGGGCTAGAGAGGTGGAGAACTTGCTCCCGGCAAGGTAACATTCTGTTAGTTGTTCCCATTTATTTTACATTATTTTATATCATTTTACTTTACTTCCATTTACTCTATTTTGGTTTGCATTTACAATAAATTGCTTTGAAAATCCTTGAATCTTCTTTGTTCCTACTTGCTCAACCACCACATCCTGTTAGATTATGTGAAATTAGTAAATGGATTCCATGTTGCCGTGCATCTGTTGAGTAGTCAATCACAGATGATGTCAAAATGTGGTAGGAACAGCTGATTGTGTCATTGATGTCCTTCCACATTTTTACATTTTATGTGATCTCCTACAGTACAGGCTCACTGGGGCATGGATTGTATTTGTTGTTAATTATGTTGTTATCCACGAGCCTGTCCTCTAATAGATCACAAGTGAGAACCAATCAAAATGCAGGTGCAATTCAGTGTATCATACAAACCTTGACATACACCTTGAACGTTACCTTATTCCTGAGTGTATCCATAACAGAAGGTCGATCTGGTTTGCGCGAGCTCAAGACCTTGTCAAACTGTAACACATTCTGAGGAGTAGCAGGAGGGTGGCTTTTGATGTCATCATCAACATGGACAGAGAAGACAGGCTTTTGGGGCATGCAGTTGATAGGCACAGATGCACGGTGTTTCTGAGAGACCTAAAATGCAGACAATAGATGTTTTGACTTGACTGAATAACTTCAATGTTGTTGAATGTCAAGAGGCAGTGTAACCAAATGGTTACTGGGCCTAGTGGGCCTGTAAAAGGGTGACCTGGGTTCAAGCCCCCCAAGCTGCTTTTCACTGGATTTATCGGCAGTTTTTCCAGGTTCAATTGCCTGGCTGTGCTTTGTATAAAGCATACTGGTCTGCCTCCTGCCAGTTGGGGTTTAAAACACTACATTTATTCATAACGTTTGCTTGTATGTGCCCTGAAAAGCCCCATCAAGGAGAGCAGCTAATAAATATACATACAGTACACACACTGTCACATATATATTTGGACAACGCTTGTGTTTGGGCTGCTACCTGTGGAAAAAATCATCAAAACCCCTGATAGATTTATCATTATGCACCTTTGCATCAGTCCATTTCCCAGGCTTCTGGGTGTTTTCTTTTTTGATTATTGGTTCAGTAGGGGGCATCTGCCATTCCCCTGTGGAGGGGGGTAAGGAGCTTTGCATTCCAGGTTCATTGTCGCAAAAGATCTTGAAGCCATTATTGGAGGTGTTTGATGTTGTCACAGTTCCCCTGATGCCTGTCTTTTTAGCTGAAAGAACAAGTTACCAATGAAGAAACAACCAAACTAAAAAGTTGAACTCCATGGGGTTTTAACTCTTTGTACCCTAACATCAGTAAGCATATTCTCCATACTGTTCTCTACACATTTCTTACAGTGCTGACAAGGAGAATCTGGTTTAACAATCAAGGGTTTCTTCCATAGGTGATCATTTCCTTTATTCTCATGGCTTAAATGTGTGATTTAGGGGTGATATTGTGGAGAGAAATCAGATACTAGTCACTTTTAGTAGTCGAACAGTAAAAAGAACAAGCCTGCCAAACAATCATGGATGATTTTCCAAGATATGAGGTACTGTATATAAGTATCATGCTTTCTTTGGGAAAGTGATGACTGATGTGGCACAAGGTAAAATGTTCAGCTTTTAAATACTAAGAGCTAATTTCTCTTTTAATCATAACCATTACAATTTCCTCAAATTTAATTGGTGCATAATAGCTACTTTATTTTCCACTAATTATTCTCTACAGCTGTAATCAGACAATGCAATTGGACTATGTAATTGGAAAGTTAAAGCAGCCAATCCTACTAAGTCCACCCTACCAAATCCATTAATCACAATAACCACTAATCCTGAAAAATAGCTGGGGAATTTCCCAAATGTAGAAATTTTTTTCAACATTTTGGAGATATTTGACCTAAATGTATTTGTTGTTTTTGGAAATTGTAAGGGTTATGATTAACTGGTGACAGGACTTCTTGTCTACCAATTCTGTCTCTAATCATACTTATGGTTGATAAATTGGACTCCTGCTTTGCAGCCATCGGATTTTGATAATCACTCATATGGTTGTAGACTGAAATGGACTCCACCCATTCCTATTACCATTAAAAATATGGGTTTACAATAACCAGTATTGAGTGACTTACTGAGAGTGGCATTTCCAGTACGTTTGGTCCCAATAGTTCCTTTCTTTCCATGGCCCTTAAGGCCTCCTAGAGCTGTTCTCTGAAGTTCAGACTCATCTGTTATCGACACTTGCTGTAATCCATTTGAAACTCTTTCAGCCAGTCGTAACTCAAAGGCTCTATTACAGTGTGAAAAAGAAATGTATATTTAGGACTATTAAAGAAAAACAGGGCATGTTCAAGGTAGTGGAGAGTGCCGTTAACTATGCCCAGGTCTCTTTCATTAACCAGTGTACTTTTGAAGTTTAGCAATACACTGATGATGAATTAAGCTAACCTGCGAGCATTTATGAACCTTCTAAAGTCATAGGAATTCAACGCATGAAGTCAATAATCGCTACAAATTATTTTCAACCCAGTCCCAAATGAGATGTAAGTTCATTATCTCTTTTCACAGTCTCAAAAACTTTTTCATGTTTAATTGAACATTCACTACTTGAACATTCACTCATAACCATAATTGTGAGTAGAGATAGACACTTTACTATTTAGTTAGAGCAAAGTGGAGACATGCAAATATACATAGACCACCATAAATACAGGGATCTTATAAAACAAATAGATTCTATGTTGCTGTGGGTCTGTAAGGTAATAGATCATAAAGACAATGTGGTAAAGACATCAGTGACTCATTTGCCTGTGCCTTGGGTGCCACTTTCATGTTCTTACTATATCTTGATGTCATCTGTGATGTCATTTGATAACATAACTGAACAAACACACTGCAACTTGGAATCTATTTGTTAACTACAAAGCATACAGATCTTACACAATGCTAATTCAAGAATTGAAACATGACATCGTCATACACAAGACATTAGACTGTGTTGACCTACTTGTGTTGTTTCTGAAGTCTTTCCAATGGTTGAGCGCTCCGGTGAATTCCTAAGTTTAGTACTTCATCAGCTTTATTGCAATCTCCAAGGTTTTCAAGACTAAGGGCCCATGCTTCATAGAAGAGAGCTAATCCATTGCCTAACTGCTGACTGTGCATGTAGTTAAAAATTTCCAAGGGATCTGTACAAATGTCAGTCTAGAAGAAAAAAAAAATACCTGTTTGTTTAAAAATACAACAACATGGCATAATCCAATATCCTTACTTTACCGGTAACCAGTCAACTTGCCGATGGACCAACTTCTGTTTTTCAAACAGCTTCTGTTTGATGTTCACCAATGTTCACCAGTGTTTTTTTACTAAATATCGTTTAATTTTCTGTATGTTTAACTTCTAATAAGTTGTATTGGATTGACGACTAACTCGCCGACGTCTCTACTTGATTTTATACGTCGGCGAGTTGGCGTCGGCAATTTAGTCTGTCGGTGAGTTGACCGTAATTTACGTTACCAAATGTTTGGAAGATGGGTAAAATTTCTGGACAGCCCTATTCTTCCTTATGCATTCAGTTCTTGAATAGAGAAAACAATGACAAAAACAATACATTTCCATTGGGAAAGCAGATTTGTTCTACTATCGTATGGGGCTGTGTAGAAACTTTACCAGAAGATGTGTTGCCCTGATGGTTCGTGAACTGAACTCCCGGGTCAACCCTTTAACTACCAAGAGTGACCAAGACAGAGTTTCTCCTTACAATATCAATACAGTGTCAAGCAGACAAGTGATGAGAGTTAGGAAAAAATAACAATAAGGGAATTATTAGTTGATCCAATTCCAAATTCTCCAACATAACATTATAGTAATCATAGATTGGGCAGTAAGAAAAATTATAATTGATATCTTGGAAGTGAAAGAGTTAAGAGGTCAGGTTATTGTGCCTCTTTGCAACCAAGGCCCAGTTGTTTAAAGGTCAACAATCGCTAATCCAAGGATTCTTTATTCTTTTGTTCAAAAGCCTTTTTTTGGGATAATTTTCTTTATTCATTTAAGAGTGTCCAATATTCAAATTCTAGACAAAAATAAATTTACTGAATTTTCTTTTAAAGCTTTCAGATCTATAACCAGATTTTATATTAATCATGAATAATCTTAACTCAGCTTTGAATAACATGGCCCAAGTTAAGAGAGAGGATCCTTGTGTTGTGTTGTGTTCTTGGACAAAACACTTCAATTACATGCCTCTCTCCACCCAGGAGTATAAATGGGTACCAGTGAACTGTTAGGTTATCCTGATGAAATGCCAGGATTGTATTAATTTTTTAAATTCTTCGATGTTACTTACATAACGCAACCAGACTTTCACGTATCGTTCATCGTTCTTGTATCTTTCTTCATCTTTGAACGTTGTCATGCACCGCTCGAGTAAACTTCCCAAATCTTTACCGCCTTTGGGAAAGTTTTCACTCGTCCAAACTATGTACCTGTTAGCATAAAGACAACCGTAAGCGACAGCATAACTTCTACAACGTTTTAACTTCTATATGTGATGCACGAAAGCACATGCCGAGGTGATTTGTATTTTGAATCACATACCTGTACCAGTTAGCTAATGGATCTTCGCCTTCATACGTTCTGATCTGTGCTTCAAACTCTCTAAGATGAACGAAAAGGATACAATTAAATTTTTTTGATCGACAAGGTTCTTCTTTTGAAGATCTATTATGAAAAAACTTACCGTTTCTCTTTATGAATTCTACTCTGATCAACAGAACTAGGAGCGAACGCTGCTGTCAAGTTCGCCAACTTGCGCCCTTGTTTCAAGGGCTGTACGTTCTCCTTACTCAACTCCCACTCATTAGGATTGGAGGAATCAGAGCTTGCCTCCATTTTTCAAAAATGAGCTATCTTCCGGAGACTGTAGGAGGAAGAAAATGAAGCTAAAATTTTACACTTTTACTGAGAAACGAACGACAACATGAACAAAGCGTTAGGTTCAAAATTTCCCGCCGTATGACCGCAGTCCAACTTGATCGCTGGTGCGTCAATTTTTTAAGAAGAGCATTGTGGGTATGATCGTAAGACCAACATGGCGGAAAAACATGCTCTTCACGAAAGTGATGAGGGTTATGCCGAAAGTGGGTACGAAAATGGTGGTTTCAAGCGGCAGAAACTTGCGTCAGGCGAGGCTCATAGAACGTATCAGGCTGGAGGTGGTGGGAATCCGCACTATACGGATCCCTCGCCAGTCATTCATGTGCGTGGGGTTGCTGATGAAGCCCGCGAACAAGATTTGATGCACGCTTTGTCAACATTCGGTTCAATCAGGTATATTACAACTGAAAGAGGGTCGTTATTTTCCCTGTTTTTTTCACTCAAAAGGCGAAATTGATGTCTGAAAATACCTGGATAAATGTTAAAACAAGGCCTTTTATATCCCGCGTCAAACCGAGGGATCGATCCTGCGCTCAATTAATTATAGCGAAGTAAATTTTATGCTGTCATTTAATTACGCTGAAATTGACCATCTGGTAATGTTCGAGCAACTCCTATATCTTACAGCCTTTTGTGCACATACTGGATTCTTTTCTGTTATAAAATCCTGTTTTTCGTCTTAGTTGTGTGACAATGATGCCGAAATTGCGACAAGCGTTAGTGGAATTTGACGTAAGTTACAACATTTCCTGATATAATTTTAGCTTCGTTTAGGGCCTCTCACTGGCAAATTTGCCATGATATTGCTCTCAAATCAAGGATCGTGATATTCTGTATTATCCAGTATTCGCCTACGTGTTTTATTCACCATCTATTAATAACAACACAGACCAACACGATGAGGATTTCATTTTTCATCTTTAAGTTCCCCTCCTTCATTTTCTCTCTTTTTTGTGCGCAAAGCAACTGTAGACACTCGATGAAGCTCCTGGTAAAATTTCCGCATAGCCTATACTATTGTTAAACAAATCTGTTTTTCCAATGGCAATGTATTGCTTTTGTCGTTGTTTTCCCTATCCAAGAACTGAATGCATAATGTCATATGGGGCCGTGTGGAAATTTTACCAAAGCTCCCTCCACTTTTTTTTTTGTCCGGATGTTTTTTTTTTTTTAAATTGTAAGTTGTTGACATATATGCTACCTATATCATTCATGGTTTATTGACAATTTTTAATACAGGATAAGTACAGTGTAATCCACATGAATTTTCTCTGAAGAGAAACTCCACCAAGGATTTTCTTGTTTAGGCAAAATGTCTAAGAGGAAATGTTGTAATTTCAAACAAAACTTATGTAAAAATGGTTTCAAACTAGTTAAACTTTGCAGTTTCCATTGCTGACAGGTATTCATTTTCATTATAGGAGGTTTCATCAGCAAAATCTCTGATGGATTATACACAGGTAAATCTTGCTAGATTATATACACCTTATTTAATGGTTTGATATAAAATACGCTCAGATATTTTGCAAGTCACGCAATTTTTTTCCAAGTCCCAAGAGGGGAGGAAAATTAAGAGCATCAAGCAAAATGCACCTCCTTCTCAGTTGGTCAAAGACAAATGGATATAGCGTGGTTCAGGATTTCTCCAGTATATTACTCTTTCTCAAAATTTAAGTTCAAAAGACAGATAAAATATTTTATTAAAAATATTTTAGAAGGTTAAAAAAGTGCATTTGAACTATGATGAAGTGGAAAAACAACAACATACAGGTTTTTTGTGAACTATTGAAAAGTGTTTTGAGCAAAATGCAGCAAGGATGCACAAAATGTGGTTGGATGGTGATTTTGTTGGAAGTGTGAAAAAAAAAACTTTCCACTATTTAATCTGGTTTTTACCTTTTAGGGTGGACAGACAATTGTGCTTAGTGGAAGACCTGCTTACTTCAACTTTTCAAAAAGCAAGAGTATTTCCAAGTAAGAGAAAGATTATGTATTATATACTTTAATATCAGTAAGCATATTCTCCATACTGTTCTCTAAACGTTTCCCAGATGCTGATTAGGAGAATTTGTTCAACAATCAAGAGCTTCTTTTGTTGGTGATCATTTCCTTTATTCTCATGACCTTAATGTATGGCTTGGGGGTGATATTGTAAGGAGAAAATAGAAACTAGTTACTCCAGGGGTCAAAGGCTTAGAAGATGAACTGGAGTAGACAGGAAACTCTCTGGATCAAGGTTGTGATGCACAGACCAAGAGCAGTGAGTTCTGTACATCATGACAAAGAGCCAAATATTTCCTGCTGTACATAATGCAACTAAGACAATAGCATTCTATCATAGGACCACTGTTTCTCTCTTTCCTTTTCAAACCAAGATTGACCAGCATCCAATTTCCTCTTGCATCATCACCAATGAATTGCACTGTAAGGTTTCAAGAATAAAGAAAAGAAAACATATTAAGAACAGAATGGAGAATATGCATACAGAAGTTACAGTGTATAGGGTTAAGTTGACTTGTGATTTTAATTAATCATGTGCGCTCTTTTGGGTTGTTTCAAGTTTGAATCCTTTTTCAATCTTTTTTGTTACTGTTAGAGATGTGTGTAACCTTATAAAACATCTTTCAAAATAAAAATGTATTGAAATGTTTCTAAAAGAGTGAATTTCTGTGCAAAAAAACATAACTTTGCTAATTTTTTTCCCCACAGAAACCTGCATATACAGCAAGAGCTTCCCCCAAACAGAATACTTTTGATCACCATTATTAACCCTCAATATCCCATAACAACAGTAAGTGGAGTTTGTGTTGGCATATTCTCCTGTTAGAAATATTAGTCATCAGTGCTCTACCTTAAAATTTTTTCATCATTACACCAGGGACTAGTAGAGCCGAACATTTGCTAGTTTTCAGAAATCTTTCATTGTCTTTGCATAGTGTTGCAGAATTTGAATTTGTGATTTTTAAATTTGATGCAGCTTAATTATACGACAGATAATAAGTCAATGAAGAGAACCAGTTAGTAGTGAGACTTGTGTTCCACTGTTCAGTAAAGATTGCAAAAAAATATACAGTCCTGTGACGAGTGGCCCAAAGATTAAATACTAGTCTAGAGGCAATATCTTCCATTCTAGGACTAATGGACTGTGGCTGAATTCAAGCACTGGTTGTATTGTTTTCCATGTCTGATGCTTCATATCAAGTCTTCAGAGTGAATTTTTAAGATCTCAGCTCATCAGATAGGTGATTGAATAGCACTGGAACCCTTTAAAGCAACTGACAAAGTGCACCAGTTGTCAACCAACTTGTAATGAGCAGTTTTGCTCTACTTGAATCAATATGAATGATTGCTGGTACATTATCATTGCTTTTACTTCCAGGACATTCTGCACACAATCTTCAGTAAACAAGGCCAGGTATTAAGGATTGTCATTTTCAGGAAGAGTGGTTTGCAGGCCATGGTTGAGTATCCTTTGCTAAAATCAAATTCTCCCACTTGCATGTATTCCAGTGGAAAGTATGCATGCAAGTTTATTGGAAGGGGTGTCACAACCTGTTCCAATCAGTAGAGATTTTAGCAAATTTGGTAGAGTCCATTTCCACATGGAAGGTTACATTTTCATTCCATTTGAAAAACACTTGATCAGGCTTAACTGTAAGAATTCTTTAAACCTTTGACCCCTGAGAGTGAGTGGCATCTAAATTCTTCTTACAATATCAGCTGCCAATTAAATAATTATTAATGTCACAAGCATAAAAGAAAGATCACCAACTAAAGATGCTCTTGATTGTTTAACAAATTCTCCTTATCAGCACCTTTTCTACTGCATGTGAGGAACTTCACTCATTCGACGTGTGTATACAGGTAATCCCATGGTATTACATGTGCTTTAGGCACATGCTTGTATCACCCATGGATCAAACATTAAATTCATTAGGAAAAAGAAGTTATTGCAAACTCAAGAAGCTCTTGGTTTCTAAACAAATTTTCCTTGTAAGTGCCATAGAAAATGTATAGAGAACAGTTTGGGAGAATATACTTACTCATGTTAGGGTGTGAAGGGTTAATGATTTTAGTTGAATTCCTTGACAATGATTGAACACTAGATTTGCTACTGTGGACCAAGCCCAACAGGCTAAAGATGTTTTAAACAGTGCTGATATTTACACTGGCTGTAACACACTGAAAATAGAATACTCAAGGGTAAATCTGATTAATATGATATGTTAATAGTGTCCTTTTGGTCCAGTGACCAGTACATGTATATGCAACAGTAAACTAGATTTTTGGAACAGCACATGATAATGATGATGACATTGACTGATAATGATGATGACAATGTTGACAAGGACAATTACAAGGACTATGATGATGACGCTGATAAACTGTAATGACACTGACATTGACAGGGACGAGAATGATAATAAGGATGATGACAATGGTAATGATAGAGAAAGATGTCTTTTGTCTTTTTAAGAGGGTGGAACAAGAAAAAAGTTTGAGTCCCCATGAGCTCAAAACTTATTCTATTTACAAACATGACACTGTTGACATTTTGATCCTAACAGTATGCAAGACGTGTGTCATATGAACTTTGTAATAGGCCTTGCTCCCATAGAGTCTCTGTGGCTTAATGGTAAAGCATTGGAGCATGGAATCTGATGGTCTGAGGTTCAATTCCTCATTGGAACTCGGAGTTTTTCTTTATCCCACGCTCGTGACAAGAAGAAAAAAAACATCTTTCTCTATTTCTTTACAGAGCTCAAACCTTACCATCTCTCGTATTCGTTTTACAAAAATGATAATGATGATTACAATGATATGATCATGTTAATTACAATGATAATGCTGACAAGGACAAATGACAATGGCTATGACAAGGACAATTACAGGGATCCATGAGGACAATATTAATAATGATGAAGACAACAATAGTGACACCAGAGATGGTGACTATTACCACAGCAATAGAGCCAACAGTGTTTATTTAACAATGCATAATAAGTAATTAGTAAATAAAAAATACTGCCACCAGAACATATTAGGAAGGAATATTATGCACCAAGATGTTTGATTTTTAAAAAATAAGGGTTATTCTAGTTATACTCTAGACATGTAACCTTGATTATGCACTGCGACATTTTCTTTGCTAGTTTTACTGTACATAAAGCTTGAATAGTAATTGTGTAGTAAAGAGTAATGAAAGTTTTTTTTAGGCTACGTCACTGAATGTGTACAAGAACGATGAAGAAACATTTGACTATACTGAAGACAAAGCACATGGTGGGTTGATAATTTGATCTTTGTTGTCCATAATTGTCACAAAGATATGTAAACATCAAACTGGAAGAATGAAATTCAATAGTGCAAAGCAGAATTAACAACCACTAAGATCTTTGTTGTTAAGTTGCCAAGAATAGTATATGAATGTGCATGTACTACAGAGTACCAATGCAAAATTTATTGACACTATTGGACAAAAAGATTATTGCACAAACTGTGTACTGTTAGTCATTTTCTGTGGTGACAATGGGAGTTTCAGTTTTGCATCTACCTTTGATATTTTATTGTTTTGTTTCCTGTATTGAATTGTCCTTCTATTTTTTTTGTGATGCTTTTTAGAACCCTGTGTATTTTACATAGCCAATTGTTTTGTTAATAAGAAGTTATAAATGGCAAAATGAATTGATATTTCTCATTAGCTCAGGGCAACAGGCTATATGAGTTCTATGGATCTCAAGCCCAGGGTGTTACGATTTTGCCAAATAATAATCATCACTTAGTTATTTTATATCAGCTTCACTACTCCAACCCCTGGGGCATTTCAATCTTGCCTAATTTTTTTTTAATCATAGATTTCAAAGGTTTCTGGATAATCCCAAGCCCAGAGCATTCTAATTTTGCCAAATAGAAACATCATTGCTTATTTTTATTGTAGATTTGAAGGTGTCTTGACTATAATGTTTATTTGGCAAAAAGTACTAATATTCTTGGTTTCAAAGCTTACAACAAGCCCCACTGCGCTTTAAATCAGTCCATCTCTCCATACATGTACATCCCAATCTTAGTTTTAGTTTGAGATGCAGTTGAGGGCTGATGACAGCCACAAGGGTTTTAAGTAAGTTCCTGAAGGTACATGTACTGATTTTGGCCTTTTTGCATGTTTTTTTTTTTTATATCAATGCATGCAAATAGTTGTTTTGGTCATTTTACACCATATATTCTTGTGCACAAGACATTTCAAGAAAAAAGTCCCTTCTGCACAACCTTAGCAGGATGCAATTATACTTAATTTTGTTTCCTTATATTTATCTTTTAAATTCATTGACATGTTTGCCGTAATGATGCGAGTTAGCGCCCAGGACGTTTATTTACTTTTGGTACCTTTAGGGAAGGTGCTTATTCGAGACAGGGCACTTATCAGGGACAGGGCGTTTATTCCCTTTTTGAGACACGGCAGATTGTGAAACAAAGCTTTGATGTTCAGGTGACTGAGAATCAAAGAGACTGGAAAACGGACTTGTTGTCTGTGGATCCTTCTTTGCTAGAACGACTAGCCAAGCAACTGTCGCAAAATGTTAAGACATGATCTTTTGTTTGAAGGAACTGTGCTCTCACGGAAACATGATAGTTGAGAGACTAAGACGAAGATCATTTTTTGGTCATGAGGCTGTAAGTGAGCAATTAAAGGAAAGTGGACCTTGGTTGAATTCAATTTACATGTACTATTTTTAGTGCTGCTACTGACACAGAAAAGGGGCACTTATTGGAATGAGGGTGCTTACTCAACAAGGGCGCTTATTTGGTACGGGCGTCTTTTAACAGAAACATTTGAAGGGGGCCGCATATCAGAGAGGGGGCACTTATTGGAAG